CACCTCTAAAATTGTGTTCTTTTGGTCATTACAGGGACTGATGTGGGAGGTGTATCTAAGGTCAAGTCCTAAATTTCCAGAGTGACTTTACTGGCGTCAGTTGAGCAACTGCACATTGACATCACTTCAGGCAGCTGAGATCAGAATCTGGACCTTTGCCTATGAACTATGGCAGGGAATTGAGGAAAAACTGTGTTAAATATAGAACCAAGTTCTGGTTATGTCATCATAAACCAGGGAGTAAGCCACGGCTGGAATCTGATAATTCACAAGTAGCACATCTGTAAATTAATCACCAGGCTCCACCAGTGAAGGCAAAGGGGGGTGATGTAAGTCCCAGGACTCACCAGGTTTTGATTCGTGTTTCGGATACCCTGTTCCCCGTGATGAGAGCCTGGCAGAAGCGCAGCATCCACCTGGGAAGCAGAACGCAGCGAAGCCCAGCTTTTCCCCTTCCCCACTGGGAAGGTAGGCTGAGGACAGGGGTGTGCAAAAACTAACCCGGGGTGAAAGGAAAGGCCTGGTTATGTTTCCTGCTCATGGAAAAACGAGGAATATTGACTGTGTGCTTAGGGCAAAGCCTGCTTTGCTCTTACTGTAAGTTGTAGCTACTAAGCTAAAAATAACAGTTCGAAAAGCTGTTCTTTAAGCAAAGTTTTCTGGCCTCAGGCATAACCAGGAAGAGCACTGGAATGCACATCCTGAATCCCAACCTTTCTTGTTGCTGTGGGCTTTGCCTGGTAGCTAAGAAGAAACCTGTAGTCCCCAAGTAGCAAGAATTACCTTTCTAAGATTGAACTATGCGTTAGAAGAACGGTTCTAATGTTAATCATAGGAGCGTTGGCACTCAAATCTCTTTTTTTTTCCCCACAAACTGTCTTCCCAAGACCTCATTTACCATTATTATTCCTGCTTCTCTTGAGCTCAGAGCAGGGTTCCCTCTCGGGATGCGTACCGGCACCAAGGAAGGACAGACTGCACCATCCAGCCTTGCCTGGCTGCTCCCATCGGAGCTGGGTGCCCGTCCCCTTCTGTGCCCCAGGAGCGTCCCATTTCCCAGGCAGCTGCCGGACAGGGCGAGGTAAGGTAGAGAAAGAAAAGAGAATCACAGAATTGTTTAGGTTGGAAAAGACCTTTAAGATCATCGAGCCCAACCGTTCCCCTACCCCTGCCATCCCACCCCCAAACCCTGGCCCTCAGCACCGCCTCTGCCCGGCTGTTAAATCCC